CGGGGGGGAAAGAAAGAGAAACCGCCGCGCTTAATTTTAATGGATCATAAAATTGCGATGAGCGTGAAGGAGGAGAAGGAAAAAGAGGAGGAAAAATTTGTTGCTAATGAGAAAAATGCGGCCGCACAAACAAAACCATTAAGAAAGAAGCAAAACGTCCTATTCCTGAACAAGGATTAATGCAGTGTCTGTGAATAGGAAATCCTGCGCCGGGTGAGCGCCGTGGGCACCTCTGTTTGCTTGCCAGCCGCCGCCCCGGGGACGGCCGGCTCCCCCCGGTGCCCACGGCCCGGTGTCAGGTAACGGGACTTCGAACTGCCGCCTTTCCTGGGCAAATTACACGCGCACGTCCCCCCACCAGCCCCCGCTGGCAGCGGGCGCTCCGCCCGACGGGGTGGGGAAAAGCTCCGCCTGCACGCCGCTCGGCCCCGGCTTCGGGGCGGGGAGTGCGGCGGCTCCGCCCGGAGTTGCGGGGGGAGGGAAAAGCCTCGTAGGGCCCGGGGATGGATAGCAGAGTCTGCCGGGCGGGACGCGTCCGGTCCCTTTCTCACCGCCGAGCGCCCATCCCCGCGGCCGGAACGCAAAGGAGCGGCCCCGCCCCGCCGCGTTCCATCGCGGCGATCGATCCGCGCGGAGGAAAGGGGCGTCCCGGGGCGGCTCCAAGGACAAACGCCGCCGAAAGGCGGGGAGAAAAAAGCCCCCGTTCCCATCGCACCTCACCTGCGGCGCGGTTGCGGAGCCCCCGAGGCGGCCGCAGCGCCGCGTCCCCTCCGCTCGGCGGTGAGAGGTTCCCTCAGCCGCTCCCGCCAGGCACGCGCCCAACCGACGGCCGTCCTCGCGCCGCGCGGCCTCGAAGGGAAACCGCTCGCGTTTGCTTCTGCAAAACGGCCGCGGGGCGCTCCGCCTCAGCGGGAGCGGAGAGCCGGAACGCCGCTCAGCCCCGAGCGCCCCACCGCCTGCAGCGCTGCTGCCGAGCTCAGCTCGGCTCGGCTCGGCGCGGGGTTGGCGCTTCGCTGACGCGGCCGTGGAAGCCTGTTCGATTTAGCTTTGTACGAGAGCAAAACGTGGCTCGACGTTCCTGACTGTTCGCATCGAGAAGCCGCACGCGCACCGCGGAACCGTCGCGGTCAAACAGGAGAGCGTTCTAAAGATAGCGAGTCCGGAGGTGTTCAGACTACAGCGTTATACTTTACTGAGCGTTCATAATCATATTAACGGCAAAACTCCTCGGGAAGTTTTTCTCCCTCCCCGGCTTTTCAGCCAAGCCCTCTGCAGCGCCCGATTCGATGGGGAGCGCGAGAGACCGATATGCGGGAGAGCAGAACGGCCCTTGAGCCCATAGCAAAGAAACTCAAGAGCAAATACCTGCGTGCTGCAGTTGAGAACAAAATATACGTGCGTAAGCAACTGGTCGCTCCTGGTTGACTGGTTTGTTTGGACCATCCGTAATTTGAAGGCAGCCAAACTAATTTATTTGCCGTGAGTGATAACATTAGGGAGATCACAGCCCTCGGGTCGGAGCGCTGGGCTCAGCTCCGTGTCCCCACGCTCCCGCTGAGGTCGGCAGTCACTGCAGGAGCAGAAGGGAAGCCAAATCACGTGCGAGGCCAAAGCAATTCTTTTTGTCTTTACAGTCAAGTTATAGGCTCCATATAACATACGGAGGTTTGCAAGTGGACATCTTAACACAGATAGAGCAGCGTAAGCGTGCCACAAACATAGACTCTCATAAAATAAAATTAATATCAAATATAAAGCATCTGAACCAAATCAAGCCTTAAATGTGGTAAGTACTTCCTTCAAAGGAAACTTCCCCAGGCTCAATTAGGTCTTTGCTAGCAGCATTTTATATATATATATGTATACATATATATATATAAAGAAAAATGTCAAAATATCTACAATTTGATGAGAAGGCTACTTGATTAATTAAGGAGAAAGTCCCCACTATTAGGGAGTATGAAAAATATACCAGCAATTAATATGCAGCACATATGTATACCCATACTTACAAATATAAACACACACGTACAACCTGGACAGTTCGTGTTAACCGAGGGAAAGGCTAAGTAATACATTCAAAATGATTACCAAATACAGGTACACTTTAAAAACACAGAGACAGCAGTTTTTATCTGTTGCAAAAATGTATTTGATTACTCGAGTAAAATTACAGTATCTCTGCTGTTAGTAAGTATTAAATGTTAAAGAAACTGGACCTCTTTTTTCCTTTCAACTTTCCGAGAAAGTGCATGAAACAGTCCAAGGTTCCCCCTGCCCCCATACCTAATACAAAATAAACAGACACTATACTTGTTCCCTTAGTCAAGGAGTAGGGCTTGGTCTTGTAAGGAACGTATATACATTTTAATGAAAGTGATGTCTTATTGTATATACAGGAGCATCTACAGTTGTCCACGAGAGTTGTTCAAGATGCTATACTTAGCAGCATTGTGAAAGTCCAGCACATCTTCTATAATGGATATACCTACAAGGCAAAATGTTACGTCTCAGTTTCAACTACCAAAACAACACTTCAGTATCTCCTCTAATAATCTGCGTGCTTATTACTGTACAGAAATGTATTAACATTTAAGACGACTCAAGTAAAAAGCACAATACAAATAACAGTTCAAAACGGAAAATGTTAAACCTACAAAAATTAAAGCAGTTTTAATTTTATAATAAAAATCAAAAACTGAGCTGTGTAAAGGACCCACACTGTTCAGTCTATATCCTTTCAGTCCTTTTCTTAATTCTGTTTGGAAAAATTAAACAATGTGTTTTGCTGATAAAATTTCCAGCAGGATCAAAGTGTACATTTATATACAGACTTTTATTAGAGATCTAATGCATCACTGAGGCATTGCATCAATACCAGAGTTCATGTTAAACTGGGTATAGAAAATAAGTTAATGCCAGAATAAGATCACCTAGCAGAACAGACTCGCAACTGCCATAAATGTTACAGCAACTTTACAGCACTCTAGTCGATTAGTATTTAGTTCAAAATACAGGAGACCAAAGTTAATGCTTGCATTTGTTTGCAAAGCAAGGTTATATCGCTAATAAATAAGCTCTCTTAGAACTCTAGAAGTAGAACATGGTACAAAAAAAAAAAAAAAGAAAGTCTCTGTAATGTTGTAGCTTGCAGTTTGAAAAAAACAACCCTAGGTTGCACTATTTGCAGGAATGTTACGTATAGTTTTTACTAATTCGTTACAATTTCTTTGTTGTCTTCCACGAAACGCGTAAAGCGGAAGTTTGTCCCGTTCTCATTGCTTGCCATTTTCTCCAGACCAGCTAGAGGTGCGTTGGGTTCCGAACTCGGGAGCTTCTCCAGGCTGCCCGTCAGGCCGCTGATGGGTGAGCTGCCCCCGTTGCCCAGGCCCCCCGGCGGCGGAGGGATGCCGCCGTTCTGGATGACGGAGATCTCGTTGGTCTTCATGGCCAAGCCATTGGAGAGCGCTGCTGCGTACTGGTTCCAGAAGCTGGACGGGTCTCCGTTCCCTGACCGCGCAGCCAAATCCTTCTGGAACATTTCTGGGAACTTCACAGGATTGCCTCCTAGGAACGTCATGGGGCCATCGACGGAAAGCCGTCTGCCTCGCCTTGCGGGAGTGCTGTTCCACATGTGAGTGCCCATGTGAACCTGGAAAGAGAGAAAGAAGAAAGAAAGAAACAAAGAGTAGCAGTTGGCAAACTTATTTTCATCCCGGTGAAGGCAGCAGTTCACAAACATATCCAGTCTTGTTACATAATAAAGCAGTAAAGGCAGCGGATGCAGGGCACCATTTCCTGTCTGGAGTAATAAACAAGCTTCTTCTGCATCAGCCCAGCACCATCACCCAGCATACCCTGTCTTCCTCCTGAACATTACGTTACTTCTTACTTTCTTTAAATTATTACGTGTATTTAGCTTATAATGACTTTGTGTTACTCCATCAATCGCAGATAGCTGCTTTTGGGGCTAGAATTGCTATGTCCACTTTCATTGCAGTGGTAAGTATTGTATTTGACACCCCTTTCCCTATAAACATCCTTTTCAGACAGGCAGAAAGTATCCTTTGCTGATTGCTCATCGGAGGGCTTCGTGTATAGACAGAATGGCCTGAAAGTAATTATTCATCTCACATTACTGGCAGCAACCTCTAGAGAAATACTCTGTCAACAGAAAAATGTACACAGTAAAGTGCTCAACTGGTGTTCTAAAACTTAAGTATATTTGCTTTTCCAAACACATATCAGTAGGAAATGTTAGTTATATAATCAATTAAAGTAATGCCCATTAGTTCCAGAATTATGTTAATAGTTTTTTTAAACAACCATCATTTTACACGATAGCTACGAAAAAGCAACACATTCGAGAGCCTTTTGCATTCTTACTGAAAGCATTTCTCTATTTACTAGTACTGCCTACCAACATATGGCTGTTCTCTTTCACACTCTACATAGATGGTCTTTGCTAGTAGGTGAACTTTAATTACGCATCAAAAACAGATCACGCTTCGGACCTGCTGCCAATGCAAGCACTCAACAAGAGCCCACCTAGTACTATCACCCCATTTATCATACCACAGATACCCACAGGTACTGCTGCCTGCAGCATTAATCACCGTGATCACCGGAAACAAACAAACCAACCAA